TGTAAACTCTCCGTATTTGTCAGGGCGTTTAGAATTTTCGCTTAGTTATGTTGTTTGATTCATCTAGCTGCATATTTTCAACTGTTTTATGGGAAGGGGTGTTAGCTCCACATCGAAGCATGAGCGTATCAAAAATATCGTTTTAAATCAAATTTGCTCAGCTAGGAATATAGATTATTTTTCTAACATACGGACATATTTGCTATGCTTACAAAGCCACGAGCTATCACAGACACCAATTGTAGGTAGTACAGTACTAGCTTATAGTCCCCGCGAAAAAAAAATACTCCTACTAGCTTATAGTATTAGAGAAGGACGTGACTAACGTCCTATCGTGCGGTCTTTAGTAACAGATCCGCACGATTCCAATATTTCATCGATCTCTCTCGTTTAGAAGACCTCTTTTCTTTTTTTAAATGTGGCTGACGTGAATGAAAAAATAAGCACATGCTGCACTTATGCCTAAAAAATGCATGCATGCATGTAGGATAGAATTGCTGACATCAGCAAAGATTCCATCAAATTTTAAAATTCAAAATATTTTTTAGCTCAAACCATCGCTCTGATCAAAAAACTGTTTTCATATAAAAGATTCGTCGCGATGAGACTTTCGAAACTAGATCCCATGTTGGTATGTTTCGACGACTTTTTTTTCGGGTAAAAAGTCACCAGACATGTACTATGTAAGTTATCACAACTGCGACATATAAATTACCAAGCTGTTTTCATAGTAATTACCGGGTACGAAAAGATGGTCTTCCAGCTTTTCTTTCCATGTGCACATGCATATATGCACTAGATGACGAAACTATGATGACATTCTAGATTCTCCTTATTTCGAAATTTCAAAATGTTTTATAGCTCAAACCGTCGCTTTGATCAAAAAATTGTTTTTCACATAAAATATTCATCACAACGAGAATTTCGAAACTAGATTTCACGTTGGTATGTTCCAATGACCTTTTCCAGATAAAAAATTACCACGCATGTGCAAGACAAGTTATCATGCTAATTGAGCGTAAGTTATCGTGTTGTTTACACATAAATTACCTAGGCATAAAAAATGATTTCTTCAACATTCTTCACAAAAGCACATTCATGTGCCCCACGAAATGAAAAATGCTAATGTCATGGAGGATCCCACCAGAACTCAAAAATAAAAAAAAATGTTTTGTAACTCAAACAATCGCTCTGATACAAAAATCATTTTCACATAAAAATTTGTTGCGACGAGCCCTTCAAACTAGATCTCATGTTGGTATGTTTCGATAACTTCTTTCGGTTAAAAAGTTATCAAGCCTGGGTCATTAGCTCTGTTGTGTGTGTATTCCCATGCTATTCACACACGAGTTGCCGAAGGGTGTTTTTCAACAAGCCCCCCCTCCGGTCAAAAGTTATCATACCTAGACTAAGTAAGTTATCAAGTCAGTTGTGCATATAATATAATGTTATTTAATCATGAGTTATTGGATCAAAGTTATCACCGTGGTTGTACGCAAGTTATCTGGTCTGCGGTGCGTAAATTACCATGTTATTCACACAAAAATTATCGGAGACATGTTTCTTCAACTTTGTTTTCACAGGTCAAAAGTTATCAAATGTGTTGCACAAAAGTTATCAGGTCTACGGTGCATAATTACCATGCTATTCACATAGAAGTTATCGGGGATGAATTACAACAACCCCCACCCCCGCCAAAGTTATCATGGTGTTAGTACATAAGTTATCAGATGTGTGATGCGTAAATTATCATGCTCTTCACACAGAAATTATCAGGGATATGTTTTCAACCCCCCCACCCCCCCCATCAGGGGTAGGTTTCAACCAACTTTTCCCCCACGGTCGAAGTTATCGCGGTATTTGTACGTAAGTTATCTGGTCCGTGGTTCCTATATTATAGTGCTACTTCCACAAAAATTAAGAGGGTATACTTCAACATTTTTTTCCTCGGGTCAAAAGTTATCATGGTGTTTGTACGCCTCATTGGCTCATCGAGAAATTGTTCTTCTTATCATTGTAGTGTTCAAAGCGGTACAACAAAGTGTATGTACCATGCGAAAGATACAATGAAGAAATGTAGCAAAAAATCATGATGAACTAATAGCTTTTATACCTAATATTATGCATTTGTTTTTTTGTAAGTGTTCTTCATACTAAACACAAGAAATTTGGGGTTAAAAAGGCATCAACTTAAAAATACAAACAGAGCAGCCAAGCCATTTGGCTATTAAAATGAAGAAAAAAATAGTAGGAAAAAGAAGGAAAATTCGGTGTAAAAAGGGAAAGAAGAAAAGGACACTTTATTATTCACGCCACATTTTTTAAAGGTACAAAAACTACCTAATCTGAATGTAGTCACAACCTCAATTTAGTCCCGGTGGTAGGGGCAATTTGAGAGTGCCAATGAGGTACTGGGTTTGATTCCATTTTCTCTCAAATTTTTACTCTTTTCAGAAAGGAAAAGGGGAAGAGGGAAAAACAAGTCCCGAACGGGAGCGGGAGCAGGAATCACGGGACGTGCGAAGCGGGAGCGGGAATCACGGGACGACCGGGAATTACCTTAAAAATCGAAGCATGCAGATTATCCGTTCGATCCGAATCTAACGGCTTTTGAATCGTACGGATCTGTTGTAAACGGACAGTCGGCAGGAATTTAGCTTTTGCCATTAGAGAAATACTCCGTAATTAAGAGCCAATAAAGCGTGCATATATAAGGGTCTGTATAGAACACATCTAGATGTGACAAAGCTGATTTTCACTCTGTTTATGGTTTATTTTTTTTGTTCTAGTTTTTTTGTTTCTTATTGATGCATTATATACTTGTGGGAGGTTAGATGTGACATTTTTAAAAAACATCTAGATGTGAATTAGACAAACTGCATATATAAAGCGTGAAGACCACGGTGTCTCCTTATCCATGACCACCTCTTGTCTTGCTCCGTAAACCCACTTTTCCGATGAAAACCCTCGATCACAGCGCAACGCAATGGGGTTCACCGCCATAGCCATATCGTCCTCCAACCCAAAGCCCCGCTCCGAGACCCCTCGCAACGCGGCCCTCGCGTCCGCCATCTCCGCCGCTTCGGGCAGCACCGGTCTTCCTCACCCCGGCAGCGAAGATGGCGGCCGCGGCTTGGGAGGCCTCCTATCGTGGCTCTTCAACGCCGGCGCGGCGCACGCCGCGGAGGAGAAGCCGCCATCGAGGGACTGGGACGCGCACGAGTTCGGGGCCAGGACGACGGTGCCGTTCGCGAGGCTGCAAGGGGCCAAGAGGTACAAGGTTTCGGACGTCAGGTTCCTCGACCGCCGCGCGCCCGGCGGCGGCGGGGGCGCGCGCCTCACGGCGGGGCCCGACGACCCCCTGTTCGAGGGCGCGGCGCTGCGGCCCGGCGAGGTGTACACCCGGTCGCAGCTGCTCGGGGAGCTCGAGGCGCTGTCCTCGTGCGGCATGTTCGACGGCGTCAGCGTGGAGGCGGTCCGGCCCCAGCCCGACGGCACCCTCGGTCTAACCGTCTCCTACGCCGAGGCCCTCTGGGCCCCGGCGAAGCGGTTCAGCTGCGTCAACATGGGCGGCCTCTTGCCGGCGCAGGCCGACGAGGTCGAGGACGACGACATGACGGAGAGGGAGAAGATCGCGCTCCGGCGGAGGCATGAGAGGGCGTATCAGCAGCGCCTCGGGCGGGCCAAGGCGTGCATCCTGCCGGAGCCCGTGCGCGGAGAGGTGGTGGAGATGGTGAGGAAGCAGGGACGGGTGAGCGCCAGGCTGCTGCAGAGGATCAGGGACTGCGTCCAGAGGTGGTACTACGACGAGGGGTTCGTGTGCGCTCAGGTGATCAACTTCGGGAATCTCGACGCCGGCGAGGTTTTGTGCGAGGTCGTCGAGGGGGAGGTAACGGGGGTGGAGTACCAGTTCCAAGACAAGCTCGGCAATGTCGTCGAGGGGAACACCCAGCTCCCTGTAATTGACAGGGAGCTGCCCCGGCAGGTATATGCTCTGGAAACACCATTGTATACTACATACATGAAACAAACAAACAAACAAACAAACAGCGTGATAGCTGGGATAATCTTGTTATTAACATTAACCATAACTTTCCACAATTCATGTCAAGTCCCAGACCAATTTAGAAGCACCATCTGATCCTTCTGTTCTTTTTCTGAGCAGTCCTATAGTTTTGAATATAAGACTGCTCTAAAAAGAACAGAAGAATAAGATGTGTTTCTTTGGTTGACAAAATTACTACTCCCTCTGTTCCATATTACTTGTCGCTGGTTTAGTACAAAGTTGTACTAAATCAGCGACAAGTAATATGGAACGGAGGGAGTACGTGTTTTTGTTTCAATCGCAATGTATATGCACTGGAAACATCATGTATACTACATTACTACATGAAACAAACAAACAAACAGCGTGATAGCTGGGATAATCTTGTTATTAACATTATAATAATCACCATAACCATCAGCTGTCCACAATTCTTGTCAAGTCCCAGACCAATTAAAAAATTGAATATAAGACTGCTATAAAAAGAACAGAAGGAGCAGATGGTGTTTCTTTGCTTGACAAAATTACTTTGTGTTTTTGTTTCCATCACAATGTCACTTGATATTATCAATAATTTTCACATATAATTTTGTTTATTTTCCTTGATTACACATTTCGAAACGTATCGCTGTGTCAGAAAAACGCCGAGACAGTGTAAAGCAGTACAAACCCTTTTTTTCCATGGCTTTGAGGATTTGACCTGTTTCTTTTGATCTGCTGTTACAGCTTCGACCAGGCAATATCTTTAATATTGGGGCAGGGAAACAGGCTCTGAAGAACATAAATGCGCTCGGATTATTCTCTAACATAGAGGTGAATCCACGACCTGATGAGACAAAAGAAGGGGGCGTAGTGGTTGAAATCAAGCTCAAAGAACAAGATCCCAAATCAGCCGATGTGGAGACAATGTGGAACTTTGTACCAGGGGATCAGGGACGACCAACTCTTGTAATGTGTCTACATACTTGTAATCTTTTTTACAGTATCTTGTTAAAATCTGTCTTAAAATTGCTGGGCAAGTTCAAACTCAAGATGTCCGTCACTGTAGTTTAAGCCCTGTTGGCGAACCTTATGCATTATGTATCTGATGGAAGCTTTTTATTTCAGGCATCCATTCAACCTGGAGGAGGTGTGACATTTGAGCACCGCAACATCGGTGGCCTGAACCGATCTCTCGCTGGTTCTTTCTCATCGAGCAACCTGCTCAATCCTCAGGTGAGTTGGCAATGGATGATTTTGTAAGATTAGTGAGTGTGTTTTCAGTTTTTCTGTGTGCTGCTCGTGTGGTTATAATTAGAAACAGTCACGTGGTTGGTGTAAGAGGAATGCTGCTTAGGAGAGAGACATATATCCACTGATCCACACATCTGGACATGAATATAATCTTATATATCCATGTTTTTGTTTGATTGTTAGGATGATGTTTCATTCAAGCTTGAGTACACACATCCTTACTTGGACGGTGTGGAGGACCGGAGCAGGAACCGCATCTTCAAAGCCAGTTGTTTCAACACCAAGAAACTCAGCCCTGTCTTTGTCGCCGGCCCCAACATGGACGATGCTCCACCCATCTGGGTCGACAGAGTTGGAATCAAAGCGAACATAACAGAGGTTTGCACAAAATCAGTACCCCCTCGGTTTTTGACATGTAAAACATTCCAACACTTAATTAACCAACAATTATTTCCATTTAGTTCGACAACATCAATTATATATCACATAATGTACATATTGTCGAACTAAATCATTAGTCAGATATACATCTTAAAAACAGTTTTATACCTCCCTGAACACTCAAATTAATCCTTTTCATGAATCATATCCGATGTATGTGAGTTAACAAATTAAAATAAAACCGATCCTGGATTTGCAGAACCTCACAAAGCAGAGCAAGTTCACCTATGGCCTCGTGCTGGAGGAGATCACGGCGCGTGACGAGAGCAATGATGTGTGCACACACGGGCTCCGGACGACGGCCCCCGGTGCCCTTGGCATGGATGGCCCCCCCACGACGTTCAGCGGCACCGGTGTGGACAGGATGGCGTTTCTTCAGGCCAATGTTACCCGGGATAATACGGAGTTCATCAATGGCGAGACCATCGGCGACAGATGCATCTTCCAGGTATGGTTTAAGTGGTTAATGAGTAAAATCTTAAGACTTTCTGTTTTCACAAATGATTCAGAGAACTACGCTTTCAAGGTGCAGTTTCATAAATAAAACCATTGTTTTTTACTGTCCTAGAAAAGTGCATTGTTCTATAGAAGGCGGTTCATCGTCAGGTTTGGCAAGAAGAAATGCAGTTAATAATTTACTCCCAGAGTTTGTAGGAAAAAAAATGTTCTGTAGGAGTAAAATCCAGGTTCTGTAAATAAGTTCTCCAATGGTGAACCAACCAAGTAAATCCTCTTGTGCCGCAGGTGGACCAGGGCCTGGGCATCGGGAGCAGGAACCCGTTCTTCAACCGCCATCAGCTGACGGTCACAAAGTTCGTGAACCTAAACAAGCAGGAGAAGGGAGCCGGGAAGCCGCCGCCGGCCGTTCTTGTCGCCCATGGCCGCTACGCAGGGTGTGTGGGAGACCTGCCGAGCTACGACGCGTTCGCGCTCGGAGGGCCTCACTCGGTCAGGGGCTACGGCATGGGCGAACTCGGAGCCTGTAGGAACCTTCTCGAGGTCAGCTGCTGAATCTGTTTCCGTTCGGTTTCGACTTGGACCAGAGCATTTCCGATGCTGCTGTTAACCGTGTGTGCATGCAGGTCGCGACGGAGGTGCGCATCCCTGTCCCAGTGATGAAGAACACGCACGTGTACGCTTTTGCCGAGCATGGCACGGACCTCGGGAGCTCCAAGGACGTCAAGGGGAACCCTACCGAGTTCTTCTGGCGCGCCGGCCAGGGATCGTCGTACGGCGTGGGCGTCCGGTTTGGCCCGCTCAGGGCGGAGTACGCCGTCGACCACAACGCCGGCACGGGATCCGTCTTCTTCAGATACGGCGACAGGTTCTAGACTGGACGTTCGACCCTCCGCGCAACCAACCCCAGCTCAGGCCACACATATATATTTTGCAACGTGTACTTTGTTCCACATTCACCGTTTGTTAGCTGCTAAGGTATTCCTGCACTGTATATTCCATGTTAAGACTGCACATTGTCAGCTCAAGGAGAAAGGGACCCAGGTGAAGAAAATTTCGATAGAATTTCACGCCCGGTGTAGTGTAGAGGGTCCCAGTATGATAAATGAGAAGAAAAAACGATGTCGTGAACTTTTCAACGGATAATTAAACCAAAAATGGGGGAACAAGAAAACTAGCTCTTCACTGTTGGCATGCCTTCTGGTATCCACTCTATGCTCGGCTCATATACTGCCCGGTTCTCGAGTCAATTAGGACATCATCGCCTACATCAACGAAAGAGGGCACATTGACAACAGCTCCTGTCTCCAGGGTTGCAGGCTTTGTTCCTCCTGCGAAAACAAGGTAAGCAGATAATTCAAATGAGGTTTAACCAGCTCTAGGGATCATAAGCCAGAATCTGAGATAGGATGCAAGCTCATCCTTCATTCTATAAGATAGAAGGAAGAGGTCTCTCTCTCTCTCTTCTAAAGTTGAAAAACCAGGAACCCATGCCAGGAGAGACATTGTCGGAGATCTTGGCAACTAACCAACCATAACATGAACATAAAAGGCTATTGAGATTTCTTCACTAGAAAAGAAACATCAATGTTTAGACAAGCGGCCTCTACCAAATGATATGCTCGCCTGAGTCCAATAGAAGCCTCAGACATAATGGGATTACTTGTAGTTCTACTTCTACAATACTGCTACATAAATTCTTAGAACAGGTGCAGCAGGTTAGGTCTGCAGGATAGAGCACTCTCTGTACCTTGTGCACTGTCACCTTGCCCTGGATCAGCCTCGGTTACGGTCAGCCTAACAGTGATGGGGAGATCAAAATCAATGATCTGCAAAATTTAATACCGTCAGTGTCCAAAAGTCATCGTGTAGTGTGCACGGATATACAGAAAAAACTAACTAGCACAGCATCGAAAAGAATGGGAAGGTAATAGCACATGATAGGAAATACCCGTCCATTCCAGTATAACAAAGTGCAGTCCATTCCTTCTTTCAACCACTTCTGCCTGTCGCCAACATCTGACTCGTTTAAGCGGCTTTCTTCAAAGGATGTCTGGAAAGGTAAATTATGATGAGAACAGTTGCACACTTGAAGAGTGAACAATACCGATCGCTAATAAGCGATGATGATTTGTTGAAAATAACAGATCGTTTATTCTGTATTTGAGGTTGTCTGCACACAAAGGACACCTCATTTCAAACTGGTTTCTACTTGTTAAGTTTGATTTTAGCTAGTGCGTGACGAGCGGGATTTCAGGCTCCACTTCAATGAAATTGGATCATTTTTTTTTTGGAAGGACCCATGAAGATACCCATCCCCATGCCCATGGTAGTGCTTGTCACCCGCCCATGAAGATTTCCATTGTTAGACAATCATGCCCATACCTGATGGATATCCTTGCCATTGGCTACCCACCGGTTCTTCTCAGCATGTACAAATAACAACTCAAACATAGCAAATAAGCTCAACAATTATGTATACAATAACCACAACATATTATGATGACGGGGGTGGGGTTTATAATTATATATGTGATATATCTCTGACGACCCATGTGTAATATGAAATCAATTTTTTTACTTAATTATTAAAATGTTAATCGGATGAGCGGTGGGCAACCCATGGGCAAGAAATTATACCCATAACCTCCATGATTGGGTTACCCATGGACAAAATATTGTATCCATACCCTTCCCATGCGTCTCAGATACCGGATATCAAAACCCATGCTTAAAACTGCCATCCTTAGACCAGAATTGCATTATTGGATGGAAACATCTGTGAAAATTCTGGCTCATGATTTCATCAAAATATGATAAATTTGGAGAGTTCGCCTTAATTTGGCTCATAATTCCTTATCACGCAACTTCATCATCATCTAATAATAGTGCCGCATGTCTACATTTTTTTCTTCAGCAATCTGTGCATAACTCAGTACATAGTTATCCACGTCACATAAACTCCTGTAGTGACTGGCTTACTCTAGCTTCCTAACCGTCCAAAATTAGCTCATCACTTACAGCATGTGCAATGAGGTAGACGTATGAAACATATAAGCAGGTGGCAGGTAATTGTGTCGTGACCAAGGTTCTAAATTCCGGTTGGAATTTCTGGTAACAGACCGGTTACTTGTTCTTTCGGCCACCCCAGTAGAAACAAAGTACCAGCCAGTGCTGGATAAAATTTATTCAAATTCAACAATTTTGATCAAAGTTTGTTTGATTGATTTTGGGTGAAAAATAACCGAGTTCCAGGTAACCGGTTATTCCAGCCCCTAGCATGAAAACAAACAGAATCGAGAAAAAATAAATTGTCAAGACATATTTGAGTCAAATAGATGTACCTACCAAATCCATGAACACAAACTGGGAGCCATCCTTGTAGGTGAATTGTTTGGTTTCCTTTGAAATAGAAGCTTCCTGGATCTGAAAGTGTAAGAAAGTGGTAAGTGTATAACTACAATGCTCTGTGATATAAATGACAAGTATAATACTCCCTCCGTCCCAAAATAACTGTCTCAAGTTTAGTACAACTTTGTACTAGAGCTAGTACAAAGTTGAGACACTTATTTTGGGACGGAGGGAGTAATTCCATAACTGATGAAGTGATGAGATAAGTCAGTATCCTATATACCTAAATAGTTGATCTCCACTACTCAATTCTCTCAACATGCACACATGCCACCTCATCACACCACTCATTCTTTCTCTGAACATGCATGGTAAATGGTACTCCCTCTGTAAACTAATATAAGAGCGTTTAGATCACTATTTTAGTATTCTAAACGCTCTTATATTAGTTTACGGAGGGTTTACATTCTTTCTCAACATGCACACATCCCAACTCACCACATATGCCACCTCATCAATTACTCTAATTATCTCTCTTAACATGCATGAGAAATGCTACCTATATTCTCTATATATTTGCAACTATATAATAATTAAATACAATACATTATTATATTTTAAATTTCATTAAAAAATATTTCAACCAATCCCCGGAGCAACGCACGGGTTATCATCTAGTTTGATTAACTAACGAGTACAAATAGAAAATTATAGATGCAAAAAAGGAATTGCTAAATGCAGCATCAGATTCTGAAAAGCGAGTTTCTGCTCAGATTACCGTACTTCCAGCTCGAAAGGTTTTCTCAACTGTGTTGCCAGTGATATAATTGCGCATTTTTGTCCTCACAAAAGCAGCACCTTTTCCAGGTTTGACATGGAGAAACTCTGTTGTTGCATGGAGGGGGAAAAGTTCATATAGATGCTTCTCACATTGATTGTACGAAATATAGAACAACAACAACAATAAAGCCTTTGGTCCCAAACAAGTTGGGGTAGGCTAGAGCTGAAACCCATAAGATCTCACAACCAACTCATGGTTCTGGCACATGGATAGCTAGCTTCCACACACCCCTGGTATGAAATATAGAACAATGTTATAATATATGCTTGCTAAAGGGACGACCATTCAGCCTTTGCTTTCCACGTGTAGAAAATTATCTTTAGCTGGCCCCTTGTAGTTACAATTTTTCTTGAATTAAGCAGTTAACTAAAACTTTAAAGCTCAGTTCACAAGGGTTCGATGTCTTGTAACATTGCACTACAGAGATTTGAAGAAACATAGCTAGCACTGAGGGTGTATTGAGAGATGAGTAGGTGACACATACTCCAGGAGGGAAAATAAGGACATGCAGCAGTGAATTATTTACAGAAATTTTAGACTAAACTAACATAAGTGAATACGTTCTCCTAAAAACTAAAAAAAAATCTCGAAAAGGTGGTCGGAACTGCATAGCCCTTAAAACTATAAAACAAGAACTTCACAGAAATTCTGGGAAAATGCTAGAGAGTGATAACACAGGGATATGTCGAGGTGCCAAATTTACCCTGCTTACATAGTTTGGAACTAATAAAACAAATAACTAACCGTTGGGCTGAGCAAAGAGGAGGTACATTCACTGAATTTCTCAGATTATGCAATGGGGCCTTCAGGTGAAAGAAAGACACTACGTTCACTAGCATATCCACCCAGAACCAACCATATGTAGAGGAGTATGATTTTGGATGTTACCAAGAATCTTCCACGGCGCGCCGTCCACCTCCAGATTGAACCCCACCTTGATGTCGTTGCTCGACAGCGCGTAAAGCCCTGAAGCGGAACACACTATGATACCGCCTAGAAAGAAAGCTTCGGTCGAGGAGAGAGGAGAGGGTCACTCACGGGTGAAGCGGGAGCGGAGGGGCGCGAGGCCGAGGGGTCGCGCCGCGGCGAGGCAGGAAGGCGGCCGCTGGAGGTCGAAGAGGGAGGAGGAGCTGGCCGCGATGCGGTGGTTGTGGGTGGCGCCGGCGAGGTGGCGGAGAGCGGCCATTGTTTTGGTTCTCCGTTTCTTCCTTGGGCGCGCCGCTAACTCAGCCCGAGTGATGGTGATAAGGAAGAGGATGACGCCGCTGGGATCCTGACTCACTTTGCCTGTGTCCCGCCGCAGGCCACAAGCCTCCCTCTTCCTGACATTGTGGGACCCACATGTCACAGGGGAAACACTCCATTTGGGATGGCACGAAATTTAACATCTCTACTAGAGAGGGGCGTTTGGCTCCCTGGTTCACATGAGCCGGGAGTGTATTTTTTTGTTAAAAATACAATAAATTCAAAAAATTCAAACTTTTTTTGGAGAAAGATGACTGAGTATGTGATGTCCGTGTCAAATTTCAGAGCATTTGAATGTCTAAGTAGCTCTCGGCAAAAAGGACTAATTTGAGGTCTGTGAAAAAGTTTGTTGTTTTGTCCAATGTTTGGACCCTCATTTTTTTACTAAAAGCTATTTAGATGTCCAAATGCTCTAAATTTGGCACGCACCTCACACATTAAAATATCTTTCACGTAATATATTTTTGAAATTTTTATAGTATTTATTTCGAATTTACTCTTTTACGGGGTGCAGATGAGTCTGGGCTCAGAGTTGAATATTCGCCTATTTTGTTTTTCTATTCCCAAATTAGAGCAACTCTAATAGTTCATGTATTCTTAAATAAACTACTGTTTTACATAAGTTGAGGCAAAAATAGCCCTGCAACAGCTCTTGTAAACCCGAATATTTTTTATGGGATCATGTATAATCACCCCTTGCCCCTTACGTTTACGAAAAGATGGTGAGCGGGCAGTCGTCTGAAATTTCACGTTGTACACCCTCGCACCGCGACCGCCATGTTGTGCCGCCACCGTCCCATATCGCCACGTCGTGTGGCGCCGCCGCCGCCGCGATGCCGTCCATCCCTGCCTCCTCTCCTACTAGCGAGGTTGCGCTGTCGCGAGGCTGGCCACAAGCTCGCGCTGCCGCAAGGCCTCTCGCCACCAGGTCGCGCGCACGACCGCTAAGAGGCCACACATCCCAACCTCCTTTCCTGTCCAACGAGGCCACACCGCCATGAGGCCTCTTGTTGCCAGGTCGCGCCGCCGTTGCGAGGCTAACCACCACCCCCATTGCGCCTTCCCTACCCGCCTCATTGCTTCGACCGCCTTCACCATGCCATGTCACTGTCTTGCGGGCCCATCATCATTTAATGAGAAATAGGAAAACATATTTTAGGGGGGGACTGAGAATAGTAAACTTCCCCTAAATTGTACGTTCATCGGACAACACAACTTTTATGGGAAATTTTTTACAGGTGCTATTGGAGTCACTCTTACGCCGTACTTTCATCCGACTCTATCGCACCCCTCCTACGTAAGCTTTATCCTACCTCTCACCCATTTTCTCACCACGCATTGGTTTAGTGAGTCATGAACCGTTGGTTTTTTCATCCCCAATCTCGGGAAGCGCTAAGGAGGGGATACACAAGTTTGGGGCGAAGGTTAGGGTTAAAGTTACCCCTTTCTCTATCGAGTTGTCTCATTGACCTATGCCGCCACATCGAGCATCGCCGATCCGTCGTGAGTGTTGGGGAACGTTGCAGAAAACAAAAATTTTCCTACGGTTTCACCAAGATCCATCTATGAGTTCATCTAACAACGAGTGATCGGATGCATCTACATACCTTTGTAGATCGTGAGCGGAAGCGTTCAAAGAACGGGGATGAGGGAGTCGTACTCGACGTGATCCAAATCACCGGAGATCCTAGCGCCGAACGGACGGCACCTCCGCGTTCAACACACGTACAGTCAGCGTGACGTCTCCTTCTTCTTGATCCAGCAAGGGGCAAGGAGAGGTTGAGGAAGATGGCTCCAGCAGCAGCACGACGGCGTGGTGGTGATGGAGCTGCAGTACTCCGACAGGGCTTCGCCAAGCTCTATGGAGGAGGAGGATGTGTTGGAGAGGGAGAGGGAGGCACCAAAGGCAAAAGCAAAAGTAAGAGGTCCTCCATCCCCCCCACTATATATAGGGGGGCCTAGGGGAGGCGCCGGCCCTAGGAGATGCAATCTCCTAGGGTGGCAGCGGCCAAGGGGTGGGGGGCTTGCCCCCCAAGCAAGGGGCGCCCCCCTTTAGGGTTTCCCCCACCCTAGGCGCATGGGCCCTAGGGGAAGTGGCGCCCCAGCCCACTTTGGGCTGGATCCCTTCCCACTTTAGCCCATGGGGCCCTCCGGGATAGGTGGCCCCACCCGGTGGACCCCCGGGACCCTTCCGGTGGTCCCGGTACAATACCGGTGACCCCGAAACTTGTCCCGACGGCCGAAATAGCACTTCCTATATATAATTCTTTACCTCCGGACCATTCCGGAACTCCTCGTGACGTCTGGGATCTCATCCGGGACTCCGAACTGTTGGAAATATGCCCTAGAGGCAATAATAAAAGCATTATTATTATATTTCCTTGTTCATGATAATTGTCTTTATTCATGCTATAATTGTGTTATTCGGAAATCGTAATGCATGTGTGAATAACAGACACCAACATGTCCCTAGTGAGCCTCTAGTTGACTAGCTCGTTGATCAACAGATAGTCATGGTTTCCTGACTATGGACATTGGATGTCATTGATAACGAGATCACATCATTGGGAGAATGATGTGATGGACGAGACCCAATCCTAAACATAGCACAAGATCGTATAGTTCGTTTGCTAGAGTTTTGCAATGTCAAAGTATCTTTTCCTTAGACCATGAGATCGTGTAACTCCCGGATACCGTAGGAGTGCTTTGGGTATGCCAAACGTCACAACGTAACTGGGTGACTATAAAGGTAGACTACGGGTATCTCCGAAAGTGTCTGTTGGGTGACATGGATCAAGACTGGGATTTGTCACTCCGTATGACGGAGAGGTATCACTGGGCCCACTCGGTAATGCATCATCATAATGAGCTCAGAGTGACCAAGTGTCTGGTCACGGGATCATGCATTACGATACGAGTAAAGTGACTTGCCGGTAACGAGATTGAACGAGGTATTGGGATACCGACGATCGAATCTCGGGCAAGTAACATATCGATAGACAAAGGGAATAGCGTACGGGGTTGATTGAATCCTCGACATCGTGGTTCATCCGATGAGATCATCGTGGAGCATGTGGGAGCCAACATGGGTATCCAGATCCCGCTGTTGGTTATTGACCGGAGAGTCGTCTCGGTCATGTCTGCTTGTCTCCCGAACCCGTAGGGTCTACACACTTAAGGTTCAGTTACGCTAGGGTTGTAGGGATATGTATATGCAGTAACCCGAATGTTGTTCGGAGTCCCGGATGAGATCCCGGACGTCACGAGGAGTTCCGGAATGGTCCGGAGGTAAAGATTTATATATGGGAAGTCCTGTTTCGGGCATCGGGACAAGTTTCGGGGTTATCGGTATTATACCGGGACCACCGGAAGGGTCCCGGGGGTCCACCGGGTGGGTCCACCTATCCCGGGGGGCCACATGGGCTGTAAGGGGGTGCGCCTTGGCCTAATGGGCCAAGGGCACCAGCCCCACATAGGCCCATGCGCCTAGGGTTTAAGGGGGCAAGAGTCCTAGGAGGGTAAGGCACCTCCTAGGTGCCTTGGGGGGAGGGAAACCTCCCCTTGGCCGCCGGCCATAGGAGATTGGATCTCCTAGGCTGCGCACCACCCCCCTTGGCACCTCCTATATATAGTGGGGGAGAGGAGGGACTTCATACCTGAACGCCTCGGCCTTTGGTTGCCTCCTTCTCCCTCCCCAACACCTCCTCAACCTCCATAGTGCTTAGCGAAGCTCTGCCGGAGTACTGCAGCTCCATCAACACCACGCCGTCGTGCTGCTGCTGCTGCCATCTCCCTCAACCTCTCCTCCCTCCCTTGCTGGATCAAGAAGGAGGAGACGTGGCTGTTCCATACGTGTGTTGAACGCGGAGGTGCCGTCCGTTCGGCGCTGGTCATCGGTGATTTGGATCACGTCGAGTACGACTACATCATCACCGTTCTTTTGAACGCTTCCGCTCGCGATCTACAAAGGTATGTAGATGCATCTAATCACTCGTTGCTAGATGAACTCCTAGATGATCTTGGTGAAACGAGTAGGAAAATTTTTGTTTTCTGCAACGTTCCCCATCAGTGGCATCATGAGCTAGGTCTATGCGTAGTTCTTCTTGCGCGAGTAGAACACAATTTGTTGTGGGCGTAGATTTGTCAACTTTCTTGCCGTTACTAGTCCTTTCTTGCTTCAGCGGTATTGTGGGATGAAGCGGCCCGGACCAACCTTACACGTACGCTTACGTGAGACCGGTTCCACCGACTAACATGCACTAGTTGCATAAGGTGGCTGGCGGGTGTCTGTCTCTCCTACTTTAGTTGGAGCGGAATCGATGAACAGGGTCCTTATGAAGGGTAAATAGAAGTTGACAAATCACGTTGTGGCTTTAACGTAGGTAAGAAAACGTTCTTGCTAGAACCCTAATTCAGCCACGTAAAACTTGCAACAACAATTAGAGGACGTCTAACTTGTTTTTGCAGCAAGTGGTTTGTGATATGATATGGCCAAAGTTGTGATGAATGATGAATGATCTATATGTATGAGATGTTCATGCTATTGTAATAGGATTCACGACTTGCATGTCGATGAGTATGACAACCGGCAGGAGCCATAGGAGTTGTCTTTATTCTTTTATATGACCTGCGTGTCATCAAGAAACGACATGTAAATTACTTTACTTTATTGCTAAACGCGTTAGCCATAGTAGTAGAAGTAATAGTTGGCGAGCAACTTCATGGAGACATGATGATGGAGATCATGATGATGGAGATCATGGTGTCAAGCCGGTGACAAGATGATCATGGAGCCCCAAGATGGAGATCAAAGGAGCTATGTAATATTGGCCATATCATGTCACGTTTATTATTTGATTGCATGTGATGTTTATCATGTTTTGCATCTTGTTTACTTAGAACGACGGTAGTAAATAAGATGATCCCTCACAATAATTTCAA